TGAAATTCTTGTAACTCCAAAGTTGTAGGAGTTCCTGAATCTTCATTACTGCTAAAATTCTAAGAGTTCTAAATCCTCAATAGAACGGTTATGAATCCTGAGTTTTGAACCCCTCACCACCACTATTCTATGGCTATTTTTATAACACACTCTTACTTATATAACATACTTTGTATAAGGATTCTCTATATGTAATGTTTTGGCTACTTGTTGTGATGCCTGTATTAGTTAGTCTGAAGACTGACTTGAAATGGCGACCAGTCTTACCTCTGACCTGGAAGTCTTATAGTTATGGACTAGTTCATATAGTCATTGGGGGTGTGCTATTCACTACACAACAGGTTGGAAAGAAAGTTCTGTTCTCGTTTTTAAAAGCTTTAAAAATTCTTTTTTATTATGTAATGACTTTAACTGCACACACACACACACACACACACAAATACAGCAATATTTTAAGTATGAAGTCAATTTGTAGCATACACATTACATGGAAATAAAAATTGCTCAAGATCCCTTGTTACTTTCCTTGTTATATAATGACCCTAACCCTCTACTGAAGGTGAGGTAAAGTGTGGAGGAACAATACCCTGAAGTTTATGTGCATAATATCAATTTTCTAACCTGGGTCATATAAGATATTTTGTGCAGATAACTTTCTGTTTTCATCTTTTCTCTCTTTTTTTTTTCACATCCTTCAGGGATATTTCTTGTCAAGGTGAATATTTTTTGAATTGATTTAACCTATAAAGATTAAAGAACAGATGAGACTTGAAACACTGCATTCTTTGCTACGAGGGCTAATTATGAAGGAGTGATGCTAGAGCTGTGAAATTTTGCATGCATTAATATCAACCCTTCTCATTAATAACTGCATTGTTTCTTTCTAGGTAAACTAATATCTGACTGTTCAATGAAGATTGTTTATCCTCTTGGTCAAAGGTCATCAACAGGGGATGTGACATCTTCATCACTGTGATACTGGTTCTTAGCTAAATGTTTTTTCATGTTGGGAAAAAGATGATGATCAAATCAGGCAAATAGGAACAGTGACCAACCAGTTCAAAGCCAGAGTCATGTACAGTAGTCAATGAAACCAAGAACTTGTATGCTGGGGCAATGTCCTGATGAAACAAAACCCATTTTGCCAGTTTTCCTGGTCATTTGATCTTGATAGCTTTTCATAACTGCTTCAACAAGTTGGCATAGTACTCTCCATTAATGGTGTGGCCTTTTTGAAGATAGTCAAACCCAATGCTTTTTGAATTAAAAAAAAAAAAAAAAAAAACTGAAGCCATCACCAGTGGCGTAGCTAGAGTAAACGTCACCCGGGGCGGTCCGCTCAAATGTCACCCCAATGACCCTGATTCACCCTATGCTGAATGGTTAGCTGTAGCTAAATTTTCATACATGCTCTACCTCTACTTTACTCTACTGACCGGTACGTTACTGTTTACATGTATGATCCAAGACAAAATCCAATACCACAAAATAATCAGTTCAAATCAAAAGCTGAAAACATTGCTATTTTTCCTACTCACAAATTTCCCGACAATTTATCAGAAAATTTCTGAGGGGGGACAAAACTGGGGTGTCATAAATTATTTCTGGGGGGTCATATGCCCATCTGCAAAACCCTGTGTCTCCAACACTGTTTTCAAACTATTTTTGGCACCTTAGCCTGGTTGAAAAATTTTGTTGGGGGTGACATTGTGTCACCCCTCTTGTGCTGGCACCCGGGGCGGTCCGCCCCCCTCGCCCCTCCTTAGCTACGCCACTGGCCATCACCTTCACTGCAGATGAAAAAATACTTGGCTATTTGATTTATAGTCAATCCATCACCAAAGTGTGAAGATGATCAATGATTATTTTGGTGATGGCAGTTACATGATGTCCAGACCATGTGTCATTTTAAAGACTACCTTTCCCTCTTAAATTCAGCTGCCCATTTTTGCACTGTTAATAATGCTGGAGTATCATCCTCTAATGTGTGGCAATGATGTCAGCATGAATATCCTGAGTGGCTAACCATTTTTTTTGCAGATATTTGATAGCACCACAATGCCATATTTTGTGCATTTTCAAGAGATGTCTCTACTTGTTACTTTTGATGTCTTCTTTCAACAGTCAGATATCAGTTTAATTGGAAAGACAAATTGCAGTTACTAATAAGAAGAGTTGAAATTAATGCTTGCAATATTTCACAGCTCTATTCTCACTCCTTCATAATCAGTTTATGAACTTTTCAGCCCATCCTTTTAATTCACAAATGTTTCTATACTTCAGGAATTAGTGATGAATATTTGAACAGTCAATTGAAATAGAGATGTAAGTGTCAGAACATATCAGTTGTAGTTTTCTCAGTTTCAGCCAAGGGACGGGAATCTTACTCTCAAATATTTCCCTCATTTTGTATGACTAACTTCAACTGAAAGTCAACCTCTCCTTGTCATCACTAAAGGAAATCGTAAGCTGATGAAACAAGAAATGACAACAGTTCCATACAAAAATCATAATAATCATCTAAGGCAACTCTTTTGCCTTCCATCAGCATGCCTAATGTTAACCTCCAGAGGAGTGTCTCATTGTGCATTCTTGGTTCTGTTTTCCACTGACAATTGGAAACAATAATATTGAATCAAGTCTACAGCCAGGAAAGTTGATTTATTATGTCGTGTTTGACAATTCTTTCTCATCAGAATCTATCTAAAATGTCATATTTATTTAGTTATAATACAGGCCAAAAGAGGGGATAAGGGAAAGTTGATCTTCAATCTGTATTATCTTAAACCTAACCATAATTACTGATCCAAACATACCAGTTTTCCTTACACTAAAACAACACGTTCTTACTACAGCCACCATAATGCCTCAAAATCTTTGTGTTTTCCTAACTAGTTTTCCTATGTACAATTTTTCTGGTGGGGGAGAATAAAATAACATTTAAAAATGAAACCCCAATGAATATTTACAATGAATACAATTTATATACAAAAAAATGAATGAAAAGTGTTAGTAATAAAAAAAACACAATCCAAAAATGTAGCAGAAAAATCAGTTAACTCAACTAAATTAATGTGGGACTAGGTAATTACTAACAATCATTCCACCAATCACCAGTCTTCTTAAAAAGTGGGTCTGATGAGCACTTGCTTGGGGGCACCATGAGCTTAGGGGTCCCATGCTAATCTGTGTATGTTAAGTGACTTGTGTTATTTTAGGAAATATTAAAAATAGAAATTACTACAAGCCACACATATTGTGATTGGTCAAAATATATGTCATAATAGAAAGATTTGTTTCATTTGAGTTGGTTCTCGAATAAGAAAAAAAAAAAAAAATGGGAGAATGTCCCCCTTTAACCTAGAAGACACCAAAAATGGCAAGGACTTTCTTCAAAGAGGAGGCTACCCACATATATAAATGGAAGGGCTGGTTTGTCTCATCAGTTCAGTTCACCTGCAGACAATTTGGATATCACAGAAAAAAAAAAAAAAAAATCAAAGAACTAACTGACTCCAGTCAATCAATCTTCAGTTCTAGCAAAGACTCACTAGTAAAACTTTAATTTCTATTTTTCAATATTTGTGACCAAGACTACTGTTGATGACAATATTATCTTTTATTTTTTCTCTGGTTTGATTTAATTCTTAAATTTCCCCTAGACTGAATCAAGATTGTTTTGAACATTTAATTGCAATATTTTTACTTTTGTAAATAAATTTATTATTTATTGTTATAAAACTCTAGCTTTGATAGTATTTCTTTATTTTCCTTTTCTTTCACCTTCTCTCTCATTTTTTCTTTTTGTCACAACTGTGGCAAAATGGTGTCTTGTCCTAATCTTTGATGTTCATTTTAAAACAAAAACAGCAATTCAGCTGCTTTAACTAAAACAAATAATTTTCTCATTCAATGTTCATTTCATAACAACAAAGAAAGTAATTTATATTTCTCTTCAGATATTTTTTTTTGATAAAACTGACTTTTTGTTTGCTTAAAAATGTTTTCTGCTGAAGAATTTGTTTCTTCATCCAATTTGGATGAAGAATTTCACTTATTAAAAAATCAGAGTTATTGCAACTAGATATTTATTTTGATTTAAACATTAATTCTAATATGAAAAAAAAATTAAGTAACATTAGACTTACTGTAGTAATATTAATAGCAATAACATGATTATTGGATATATAATTTTAAAGAAAAACAGACCACTTTAAGGCTCCATTGTAATAGTTTATTTCACCAGAGACCTTTTAAAGTACCCTGGATCTTCAGACATCACTTTCAAAAAATGAAATGAAAATTTACACTTTTGACGGGTAGTATTAAGTTTATGTAATTTAACAGAGAAGGTATCGAAGAGTGATGTGAGAGACATGGTCGAGTTTAGAGAGGGTTTATTTTTATATTTCTTTCTATCATACTTAATATTGAGGAAGGAGAGGGTAAAGATCAGACATCGACTTATTTAATCGATCAACTCAATGGAAGTGATTTGTTGAAAGGGAAGGATACACTGTATATGAACCGAAGTTTAGGTTTATGCATTGATTATTAGTGACTGAACCTGAGATTCACCCACAACATTGAACACTTGAATGGTAAGCATGTATTAGTTATTTAAGATTATGAATTTTGGATGCATTAGTAATTACCAGGTATTGATAGTATGTGAATATATGAATGGACAAATTTTTAATTGTCTAAATTGAGAAAAGTGTTGAAGATAGTCTTGTAGACCTATACATAGTTGAGGCTAGATCAGTGTCAGGCATCCTAGCTATGCCATTAAGCTAGATCTTGGTTTTGTTTGACAGTTTTGTGAATCAGCACACAGTAGAGAGTTTGTATTAATAAATACTATTCATAAAAAGTTCACAATTGAAGCAGAATATTTAAATATTTAGGTTTTGTTGCAAGTAAACTTACATAAGCCTACTTCCTTTTGTGGGATTAAATACTAAATGTTTATGATATATATTTCAAGGTGAATAATCCTTTCAGCAGAAATGAAACAATGTTTTGAATGGAACAGAGAATAAGAGAGCAGAGGAGGAGGAGAGAATAAGAGAGCAGAGGAGGAGGAGAGAATAAAGAGGAGAGGAGGAGGAGAGAATAAGAGAGCAGAGGAGGAGGAGGAGAATAGAGCAGAGGAGGAGGAGGAGGAGGAGGAGAGAATAAGAGAGCAGAGGAGGAGGAGAGAAGAATAAAGAGAGGAGGAGAGAATAAGAGAGGAGGAGGAGGAGAGAATAAGAGAGCAGAGGAGGAGGAGAGAGAGAATAGGAGGAGGAGAGAGGAAGAGCAGAGGAGGAGGAGAGAATAAGAGCAGAGGAGGAGGAGGAGAGAATAAGAGAGCAGAGGAGGAGGAGGAGAATAAGAGAGCAGAGGGAGGAGGAGAGAATAAGAGAGCAGAGGAGGAGGAGAGAGGAGAGAGGGAGGAGGAGAGAGAACAGAGCAGAGGAGGAGGAGAGAATAAGAGAGCAGAGGAGGAGGAGGAGAATAAGAGAGCAGAGGAGGAGGAGAGAATAAGAGAGCAGAGGAGGAGGAGAGAATAAGAGAGCAGAGGAGGAGAGAGAGAGAATAGGAGGAGAGAATAAGAGGAGGAGGAGGAGAGAATAAGAGAGCAGAGGAGGAGGAGAGAATAAGAGAGCAGAGGAGGAGGAGAGAATAAGAGAGCAGAGGAGGAGGAGAGAATAAGAGAGCAGAGGAGGAGGAGAGAATAAGAGAGCAGAGGAGGAGGAGGAGAGAATAAGAAAACTTCCTAAATTAACATCATGGCTCAACAAAGGTGCAATGACAGCCATTCATACAATTCCTTCAGATATATCATCCGTATCTACATCCACATCCATTCCTGCTACCAATCATCAATTTTCAACAGACATACCATCATTGCCTGTTGCTGATGACATTTTACAGAAGAAAATATCCAAATCTGTAATAGTAAAGGAGATTGCAATCCAAGAGACAGATCCAGGGCTATGGAACCTTAACACAATGGATTACTGGATTCATAGTGGACCCTCATCATTCAGAATCATGATAGCAACCTTTCAACCTCATGCAGAGTATATAAAACAGCTGGAGTAGGGAATATGAAGGCAAGGCATTTATCAAACAATGTGTTCAAATGTAAACTGCGAACTGACTACTCTATTCACAAATCAAATGTCGTTTGTACTGCTTTTTATATCCCCTCCAAGAAAGATTCTCCCTTTGCAACACAGGAGTTCAATAACTGGAAACAGACCAATGTTATTATAGAACATAAAAATAGAGAACATCATCAAAAGTACATGACAGCATATTTGGTAAAGCATAAAGAAACTGAAAGTGTAGATTCTTTATTACTTGAGTAACATTGCTCAGAGCAGAAATATTGGCATAAAATGTTGACATGTGCAATTTCTGTAATTTGCTTTCTTGCCTCCAGAGGTTGGCCATTTCATAGGGAAAATCAGATTATTGGGTCAGCAAAAAATGGCAGCTATTTTAGTATACTAGAACTGCTGACTGAATTTGACCCTTTTTTGGGAGAACATCATAAAATGTATGTAAATCATGACAAAGGGAATCTGTCACATTTATCTGCAAATATTTGTGAGGAAATTATTGAATTGACAGAACAACAGATTTTTTGTAGCATTGAAGAAGAGAAAGTATTATTCAATAAATATTGATTCTATTTCAGACATCTCACACACAGAATCAACAGACATTGCCGAATATATTAAAGGCTGTGAGCCTGTGGAATATTTTTGATGCTCATCCCAATCGTTTCTCATGGAGCAAAGGATCTAACAATGTTGTGGATTTTCTTAATGAGGACAAAATTCCCCTATCAAACTGCCATGATCAGTCATATGATAATGCCTCAAATATATCTGGACAATATACTGCATGTAGAGATTCATTAACTGAGTGATTTTGCCATCTGTCTCCAGTGCTAGACACAGCTTGAGTTTCGTGGGAGTAAAAGCAGCAGAATGTTGTCTACAGACTGTAAAATTCTTTGACTTTGTTTAGCATCTATATTCATTTTTAACTGGTTCTACTCATCAGTGAAATGTACTGACATCATCCGTAGGAAAATATTTTGTGGTCAAGCATCTGTCTGAAACACAATGGTCAGAACATTTTCATGCTGTTCATGCTTTGTATGGGGTGGGGACAGACGAAAAAATAAATCATGCACTGAATTCTCTATCAGCTGACAATAAACAGCAAGTGAATATATGGCAAGCAGCAGAAGGATTGAAGAAATAAAATGGAAAACCTGGAAACACTCTTCCTCACAATTCTTTGGAATGACATGCTAGAAAGAATTAATAAAATAAGCAAATCCCTGCAATCAAAGAATGTGAACATCCTTGTTACCATGAATCTTTTTGAGTCTATGAAAATCTATCTTCAGGAAACTAGAGAAAAAACTTAATGAATATGAATTCAAAGCCAGGAATAATTGTCCAGACACAGATAAAAGTGACAGGAAAAAATGGGAAGATTTATAGATATGCAAGATAGATTCTGGAGAGAAAAATTGTCTTGCCTGGCATAGTGAACAGACTTTCTTAGCCAGTGTCCTAGCAATGGATTCAATATAGTCTTTCCACTTCATATCAGCAGAGAACATGAGCCTAAGAAGACACAATGAGTCACTTTCCTGGAGGATAGCATCAGCCATGTTAATGGAAGACAGCAAATGGTATCTCAGATGATTAAAGAAGAGAAGTTTTGGAAGTGTTAAAATTAACAAGCCATCTTTTGCTCCAGTTAACTATGGACTTGAGATCGTTTTGTACATCAGCTGCCATTTTGATCTTGTCAGACTGATAAGCCTTACTATTGAAGCAGAAGTAAATTGTTGTGTTGTCAGCATAGATACCATGTTGAGAGCTGATGTTATCAGGAAGGTCATTAATGAAAATTAAAATAGTGTAGAACCAAGGATAGAGCCCTGAAGGACATTTGCATTAGTATGAAAGGATCTAGACAAGTGGCTGTTCATGATTTGACAGGAAAAACTGGATCAGTTCAAAAAAGTGTCTGGAGACACCATTAGACTTCAGTTTGTGAAGAAGATCTGAATGCCAGACCATGTCAAAGGCTTTGGAGATGTCCAATGCTACAGCCTGTGCTTCACTGTTTTTATCTAGAGCATCTTTTTTAAATGCTTGAAGCACATATGTTGGAAATTAAAATAAACATTTTCTTATATTTTTCTATGTACACTTATGTATATATGCTGTATTTTATTTTAAAATTAACGAATAATGTATACAAGTGTTAAGATTTTAGCAGATGTGTTGTTTGCTAGTTTAATGATTTCTTTTTTTATTGCAGATGTTTTATTATCTGATTTTGTGTTGATTTTTTTGTATACGATTGGGAAAAGGAAAGAAAAGGTAACTGATTTGTTTATTATGTTCATATAAGGTTTTCTTGTGCATATTGCAAACTGACTTATTTGAATTTAGACATGCCTTGGAGATGCTCATAAAAGTGCAAGTTTGCACCTTTTGATAAGTTTTTTAGTGTCAGTCAACAAGCCTTGATCAGGGCCTTTAGGCAGGAGGGAGTGATGTCATCTTCCCTTTATTCTTCAACTCAAGAAGGTTCCAACACCAGCAGGAGTGATCATTTCCATGACAACAAAAAACACCTGAATGGAGTGAAAGCCCTCTCCATAAAGAATGCTATTTTGTGAGTCAGAATGTTACTTTTTTAAATATCTGGCAGAGTAAGTAGAGATTTTGAAGGGTTAATTTAAATTTAAAACCCGTTCTTAAGACCCTTAGTGGTTGCATGAAACATTTTCTAAAAAAAAAAGTACAACAGCTAACATGAAAATAGCTAAATTATCCTTTTTGTTCTGCTTGTAAGTACAAAAATCACTTTATTGTATGTTTCATGTTAAATGGCTGAGAAAAATCTAACACTTAAACCCATTATTAATCCAATTCATATTATTCTTTCATTTCTACATGTAACTTTTGTATATATTGTAAATAAAAATTCTTTTCCTTATTTCTATAAACAGTGTGTACATCTGTTAATCTTTAACTTGGACTTGTTCTTGAACACGAGAAATTTCCCACTAATACTCTACAAAGTTGCTCCTCACCCGATTTTGGTTGTTTCTAGCACTATCATCCCATAAACTTTTGAGATTTCATGCATCAACTTCCAATTTACTTTTCCGATACATAATTGGTATCTTTCAACTACATGGTTGAATGAGTATAATTGTTCTTCCTTCACTAATTCACTGATTTTACTTGTTAGACCAATTTCTTTTATAATACTATCCATTTTGATTTGGCAATTGCATGTTGTACCAACACTAGCTCTAAGGCAATCATGCCCAAGTACTAAAAATTTTCAACACCATCTTTTAGGTACACTTTTCCTTAGCATAGAGAAAAATAGGAATAATTAATACACAAAATAATCTTACTCTTATAGCATTTAGATATATTTATGTTTTACATCATCTTTCTTATCAAATGTCTGCTTACAGCTGCTGATTTTCCAGAGATCCCTGATCCCAATAATGTAAATGTGTTTATTTTTTCAACAGCTTCTCCATCTATATTTATTTTATCATGACTTAAGGAAATTACTTTACATTTATTTTGCAGGTTTCTGTAGATACCTGGAACACCTCAAATATTGAAACTACCAGTATTGTATCACCAGCACATTCAAACAAGGCATTTCGTTCCTTGAGAGACTTTATTAAGGAAAAAATGTGTTGGCATGACCAAAACAATCAATTAAATAACCAAAAAACAATCTAACCACACACAAAATTCATCTGGCAAGAAGTACCAGGCCCAGAAGATGAAAAATAGAGCAACACATACCTTCAAACGAACTTCTGTCAAGAAAAATAACTGAAATTTATTTGATAACAACCAAGATGTGTTTCCCCACACAGTGGTGCTGCAGCATTAACAGAACACACCCAGGGTCCATTCACAGTTTCAGTGTCAACAATGACAAAACAGTCTTGAATACATCACTGGTTAATTTTTTGTTTTGCCAAGATAACAAATGCTTAAATATATGTACCATAGTTTGATTGATTGATTTTCTATGGCTTATCAATCCACTACAGGTTATTTAAAGCCAGAAATATTTTTAGATTATAAAATTTGTTTTTGTTTTGGGATAATAATGGTTTAGTGATACAAGTTTTACTAATTAACCCATAGATGGTAGGAAGTCATACCTTTGCTAAGAGTATTTGCACCTAAGTGAATATAACAAACACAACTTGAATTGGAATTTAGAAAATTGTCTTTATTATCATGAAAAAGGTGTTCTTCATCTTGGTAAATTAAATGGAACTCATACATAAAATCCTTCGCTAAAAGATACTGTAAAAATTTTCGGTTCCTCATACTATTTCAATAATTAACTGACTCCATTTGCTGTCCCTATAAGAGCCAGACCAGTCCTAAAATGGAGTGCTGTTGCCATATATGGGCAGGAGCTACCCAGTCTTCACTTTTCAGTCATAATGAAGTCCCAAGTCACCTTTGCATCCTTGTTGGTAATGAATTATTTCCCAACCTACCTTTACGGATATGACCTGCCATATCAAACATATTGCAACAAACCACCTTCAATCCCTTCGTATTCCATTGGCAAGATGTAACCTCTTCTTGAGCAGCTTCTCACAAACTACTGCTATCTCTACTTCCATGGAAAGTGCTTAGACAAACTACATTCCTTGGTTCTGTCAGGTCCTAACCCTTCGCAATTAGGACTTGCCATGCCACTTACATTGTAGCAAAAC